ATTCAAACTCTGTGACTCACAAAACCATATTATCATATTTTATCATGCCACTTTTGTTTAGAGTATGCTTGTGATTTGGCTGTTTTCATTATTGATTTTGTGTTCTCTGAACACTATCAAAAGCGAGGGAGTTCTGTTTTACTCATTGCAATATAAACAGTGATGTGGTATTTTAATTTCCCCCACAGTTGACAACATACACAACACTGATGCAAGCTAGCACTGGCAAAGTGGAGACATACATCAGATTTTGTGCTGACCCTTGCTTTCCTTGGTAAATCTCATCTCAGGAATACCTAACTATGAAACATTTCCAAACATTAAATAATGATTAACCCGAAATTATTAAAGATTAAAAATTTAAATATGTAACAAATTACTTCAAACTTTCTTTCCTTTTTGTTAGAAAGAAATATAACTGTAAATTCAACATGTGCTCAAAATTGAAATTGGTTTATACTTATTCATATGACTTCTCTACCACTGATATCAATGACCAAAATTTTGTAAGTTTTCCTCAGTGTGATATTTGTACCATGTCAGGTCACACCATGCTAGCTAAACTGTACTTTCATCATGAATGTGCAGAGAACTTTAACTCTAGTAAAGGTTTTTATCCAAGATAAGTGTCTTTTTGTAAATTCATTATATCAAAATGTATGAATTGAATATAGTCTTAGAATAAATACAATTTACTGCTGTTTTGCAACACATTGCATGATTTTTTAAAATATTGCTTGGGTCTAGCTGCACCAGTAAATGCAACATGCAATGCAACATCACCTTGTTGCATTGCATGTAAGTATTTGAGGTGAATTTCGAGTTTGAATAAATTGAAAAAAAAAATTGAAATAATTTTCCCTTTCCTCATCACCCCAGTTTCCTAATATGATTGATTTCTTCTCGTTTTTGTGTGTGGCTTGTTTCCTATCAATACCATTCCCTCATTTAGAAAAATGTTTCAGTGACAGACCACCCATTAAAGCAGCAATGGCTGTTACTGTGGTTAGAAAAACTGGTACAGTAGGAAGCCAGCTTTGAAATGTTGTCAACTGACAAGGTACAGGAGGGACTTCTTGTGAAGGGGGCTCAAGTTGATGGATCTCCTCTGCACCTATCTTCCCCATGGCATATAGCACTTCTCTTGCAGCCCTTTCTCCTGCTTGGACTGCACCATCCATGTACCCTGAAAAAGGGAAATACATTTGATAAATGATAAGTGAGAGTTAAATCATTTGTCTTGTCAAGATCAAGATGGTTGGACTACTATACTGCAACTCCTTGTCAGTTGAAGACTTTAAAATCTAGACTAGACTTAACCAAGGAGAGCAGTTGAACTATGGAAATTTTGAAATCTAAAATTGATAGCAAGTGACTCGTAACTGTGAACTGGTAATTGTGAAGAACAGCTCCCCTCACCGACAGTTGGCCGACTGTTGGTAATCTGTCAGCCGACTGTTGGCCGACCATCGGCGATCTGTCGGCCGACTGTTGGCCGACAGTTGGCCAACTGTTGACCAACACCTTACCAACAGTTGACCGACAGATTTATTTAGTTTTTTCTGAAAAGATAACTTCCTGCAGGTCATCTGTTGGCCAACAGTTGACCGACTGTCAGCTGACCGTCAGTGATCTGTCGGTAAGGTGTTGGCAATCTGTTGGTAGAATGTCGGTAACTTCATGCAGATTATTGCCTTGAAAAGTGTATGATTTAAAACCCTTGATAATTGCATGGAAAAGATAAAATGAAACTCTCAAATAGTTGCTGGCTCTTTTATGTTAGTTCAGCACAATTTCTAGGCAATTTCTCTTCCAACACTCACTTCAATTCTCGGTTTGTTTGCCATTTTTAACTTTGTCCCAATCCCCCTCTGAATTTCGCACGGTCTCTATATATGTATGACATACCAATATACTAAAAATTTGGATCGCATTGCATTATAGGGCGATTCTTAATTGCACTCTTCGATGGAGAATATTAACACACTTTCGTTTAATGCACAGGGAATGTTTGTGTGCCTTTAAGTTTTAGTAGCATTTCGAAAAATTTTAAGCATTTATAGTAAGTTTTACATCAATTTTTGAGTGCAAAAATGCACTAGTAAAGCTATTTCACCGCCTGTCTCTAATCTGTTGGTTACCTGTTGGTGGCCTGTTGGTGGCCTGTTGGTTTAGTGTCGGCCAACTGTCGGCAGACTGTTGGCCGACTGTTGGTGGAGGGGAGCTGTTCTCCACAATTACCTTGTGGACCAATAGTGGAAAATAAACTGTGTTTCTCACTATAATCACAATGAACAAACACATGCTTCATAACATTGTGCAAGAAAATACCTTGAGAAAAATTATTCATATTGAAATCTGAAGGTCTGAGGTTTGATTCTTCATGTGAACTCAGACAATTTTTTATTTTTTATTTGTACAAAGCTTGTGACAAGATCAAAAAAGAAACATCTTTCTCCAAAAAATACCTTTATCAAAGAACTCTGAGAACCAATAATTTAAAACTTCTATCATTCACTGCAGCATCACTAAACTGTATATTAAGCAGTCTCAAGATTGTCTATAAAAGGAATGGAATGCCTCCCTGCTTTTCTTACCTGACCAAATTGTAGCAGTTTCAGTTCCAGCAAAGTGTACTCTTCCAATTGGCTCACGCAGAGCTTTACCAAACCTTGTTATGACCCCACAGGGCATAATGCTGACATAGCAACCACCAGAATACTTCTCAGCTGGCCAGTTCTTGTCAACATAATGATAAGGATGAAGAGCTTCATCACTGTCAAACACCTTAGCATACTGTTCACATTGGGCTTTTTTCCTTTCTTCCTGTGTTTTGGAACACCAATAACGTGCTTGACTTCCAATGATAAAACTGGAAAAATTGAAGATACATTTATATATCAATGTTATATACGTTGAGAATCTACTAAGCTGAGTATTCAGTGTTCTTATTATACAACAGGTAAAACATGTTTTAAAAACCAGTAGAGCAATGGTTTTACTTGTTGAATTTTCAAGAATTCCCAGTGATCTTAGGTGGTTATAAGAGGTACCACAGGTGCTAAATTTTACCAGTTACCACCTCAGAAAGAGAAAATTAGTATTGAGATTGGATCTTCTAACAAGTGTTTAAGAATCAATTCTATTCTTCACCAACCTCACCTCATTATTGCTGGGTATGAACCATCTGGCTTAGTATCATCAACAGTAACATATGCTGGGCTTGAGTCTGAAATCAGTACCCCATTTAATCCTTTTTCACGCCAGAATGCCTTCTTATAAAATGTGACTGTCTTAATAACAGAGCCCATAGGGATTCTCTGAATCAACTGATTTTTCAAGGGAGGGAGGGGTGGGTCAAATGACACACTGTTCAGAAGAGCTTGGGGCATGGCACTAATCACAAATTTGGCTTGGTATTTCTTGCCATTTTCACAGGTAACAACAACATGATCAGCATCTTGATGCAAGTGACACACTGGGCTGTTAAGTATGACCTAAAAGTATGAGGAATATGGTTCAGTAAAGGATGTCACATAACTTGCAGTGCATTTGGGAATTAATAAGATAGAATAATTCTTTTGAAGATGACAAATTGTGTGAGCCCATAGGGTGAGTGCAATTTGAGTGCTTATTCTTTCTAGAATGCATAAGAAGAATCATGTGATTACTTGCTGACTAAAGAAAGGGGGAAAAATGTGAGCTAACTTCTTTCACAACATCTTCGTTGTTAGCAGTTCCTCTCCAAACCACACCCCAACAAAAGAAAGGAAACGAAATTACCCTATCTCCAAGCCTGTCTTTAAGTCTGTTACTTATTTGCTGAGATCCTCCGATAAATTTTCTTTCCTGACCGGCATCTTCAATGGCAGCCACCCTGAGCACTCCATCTCCTGTCTTGAGATACCACAGATAATACAACAGGGACATATCTTCTGGTTCTGCGGCCATTGCATCGTTGTAGATTTGTATCATACGCTTTTTAATGTAATTTGTCCAACATTTCTTGTCAAAGAATTCCTTTACAGTCATGCTATCCCATTCTAAAGCTTTGCGTGCCTTCCACGGCTCATCAAGTGGAATTTCCTCACCCATTTTATCCAATGTCCGAATCATGTTGTAGTAGTCTAACATCGCCAAGGGATTCCACGAGGACAGATCCCCTGAAAATAATCGCCTTCGTCCATCCAGAAGCTCCACAACACTGCCTTGACTGTAAACTTTATATGTCTCTATTCCTAATTCTTTCGCCACGCGTAAAATTCTATTCTGGGTTGGTCCGACGTACGCTCCACCCAGGTCGACGTACTTAAATTTTGGGTCTTCCAAAGTGTTGGTTCTTCCTCCAACACGATTTCTTGCTTCTAAAATAACAACACTAACGCCATGTTCAAGAGCTAGCAATTTAGCGGCACAAAGACCGCTTATTCCGCCACCAATAACAATAACATCAATCAGTTCCTCCATGTTGGACAACAACTGTTCACCTTTAGGCTTTAGAAACGTGTAGTGTCACGTGACTTTTGATGTAAACAAACCCCGAAAGTTCGGACATTTAGTGGAGCTCACAGCACATGTGTCCAAACTTCGGCTTTGGAACTTATTCTTAAATAGCTGTCCACTTTAAAAAAAAATGTTTCTTCGCTCAAAACTGTCATCTTTCTTCCATGCCACAATTCTTCCTGTAACATTCTTCGCATCTGTTTCAACGGCAGCGAAATGACAACTTACTTGATAAAAGATCAGAAATGATAAAAAAGAGGCCAATTTTGAGCGAAGAACACTTCTTTGAAGTGTGAAGGTATTTAAGAAAAATTTCCAAAGCCGACGTTTGGACACACGAGACACGCGAGAGTCTCTTTTCACTGGACCCCGGCGGGGGACGAACGTGATGTGAGGGTGTGGTAGAGTGATAATGTCGACAAACAATCATTTATCTCGGTAGGAGAGGGACTGTTGATATTACTAACCCAATTGATATCATCATGTACTTCAAATAAATCATGGATATTTGAAAACAAACACAAGCCCACATGGAATGTACATATTTTCACAGTTCTCGTTTAAATGCAGATTTTGCCTCCATTCCAAACTATTGAAAAAAAGATCGAAAGTCATACGACAAAGTCGATCTCACCCCTCTCCCCATTACAGCAACGCTCAGAGCAATCGATAGTACAAAGGCCCACAAAACTCTGATTCTTTTCTGTGCAAGGTGGACGTGTTCTTTCCTGACGCGAAAATGGCTAACGTTGTAAGTATAACTGCGCGAATTTAGTTTATGATAGAAAGAGAATTATCACCTTCAACTTGAATCGAAACGACACATTTACTTCAACCTAGACGACATTCGCAACGTGAACTTTCTCATCAAGGAGCGGAAGAAGGTTGTTAATTATGATTGCTCCTGATCTCAATATTTTCTAAATTATTTCTTTGTTAGGAAATCTACGGCGACCTAAAGTTACCGTAAAGAATCAATAGTTCTCCAACAAAAAAGTGCCGTGTAGCAGAATTACTTATCAGGTTCAATTTCAGACAAAATAAGAAAGAATCAGTTTGGACAGATCATTTTGATCAAGATATCAATAAATTTGTCTAGACTTGCCTTAATATTAACCTCGACATTCTTAAAAATTAGTCCGAACTAATTAAATTCCAGAAAACTTTAATTCAAGCTGATTGAGAGAAAGGGTAGTTTTTTTTTTTGCATTCATACTCGCCATGCGGGTTCGTCAAAATTCTGTACAACTCATAAAATTACTCAGCGATACTACACACCAAAAGGCCTAATAAGATAGAATCATATTATGGACCGCTATGAAATCAACAAGCGGTTGTTCAAAATCTACATCTTTCCCAGAGACTTGCCCCTGTAAGGTAAACATAATTTATAGCTTTTGAAAATATGAATAAGTTTCAATTCAGATAGGGTGCCCTAAGGAAGTACTTAAGGGTACCTCCTTGCCTAGATGTAGAGATAGTCCTGAATCTAACTTGCCCTTCAAGATAATTTGAATTTACTCTTTATTTCTCCAAGCTTTTCCCTATAGATCTCTTTAGCTTGTATGTTTTGTTTACCTATTTCAGGTTTCAAGGGAATTCCTAGCTTTATCTTTTGTAAATTATGCATACATATGCACCTGAACAAGAGGGGATTTGAAAGAAAACAGTTCACATGACCTGAAATGGGTAAAATGTAAAAAACACATGAAAAGCTAGAGGTCTATTTGTAAGAGAGAATGAGATAATTTTTGCCTCTTCGGAAAATCTGATTGCCTGGCAACCACTGAATGCACATTGGCATATCAAAGGAGTAAACTTAATTTCCTTCTATCTCTGCTTTAGCGTCATGAATTTCAAGTAGAAATGACTTGTGAGGGTTGTTCAGGGGCTGTGACTCGTGTTCTGAACAAGAAAGGTATGGACCTTAGTGAAATTTTCCCAGTTCTCATAAATCTCTACAAATAGGATGTAATTTCCTCTACCAGGAGTAGATAACTAAGATTGTCTATAGTAGAACAACTTTTCTTTAGCTGCTACCTTTCCAAGTCTCCGTACACTGGCCAGTTAGCTTTGGTTTACCTTGCAACCAAAGGATTTAGGTAAGAAGGCTAAATTTTTTTAAGGTTTGTCATTTTGTGTATTTTAATATCATTGAACTGAAGGATATTTATTTCATGCCAGAGTTGTTTTTATAGTGGTTGGTTTCCTTAGCAGCCACCGTTTAGTCTCATCAAGCAGTGCAATTTTTTCCTCTTTCCCCCTATAAATAGGTCAGCCATCTTGAGTTTTCATGGTAGAGTTAAAATGCTTCACTTAATGAGTTTTAACAGTTACTTCTTTGCCATAGTATTTCCACTTTATTTATATCAGGCCGGTACTTTTCATGTTCCTCTTTATGCCCTCTCATGTTGTACAAATTGCATTCCACTAGGAGAAAAGGATATTGAAATTGACATGGAAAAGCAGCGTGTCTATGTGAAATCTACTTTGTCCTCTGATGAGTTGTTGGAGACAATCAAGAAGGCTGGAAAACCCTGCTCTTACATTGGCGTAGCTAGTGCATAGGAGGATGGCTGGTCTGGCAATAACTAATACATAAGTTAAAAAGAAGTCTACTGGTTTCTTTGTTCCAAAATAGTTCACTGTGCTAAATGAATGAATGAATGAGAGATTGTGGAGTTCCCAATAAAATTTGTAGAACATTAATTATGTTAAGGCCATTACTGTAGGACCTATATAGCAGATTATTGAAAACTGTGAAGGTAATTAAAAGATATCTTTGCAAAATGAAAAAATAACTTTTGTACTTTTGCGCTTTTTATCAAGGCTGGGTGAACACTTTCAGTGTAGAATGAACCAATCACTCTAGTAGTTCAAAATGATGAAATCAGAGAAATGTTCTGACATTTCAATGATCAAAAATTTCAAAGTCCAACTTCCAAGTTCCAATTTGAAGAACTAGGGTGACAAATTACTGTTTGTCCTTGAGAAAAATATTACTGGTGAATCCCCTAGGGTGGGAGAGAAAGTTTTACACCTAATGAACTACACTTTAAAGATGTGGTTTTTCTCCTTTTACAACAAAAAAATATTGAACATTTCAAAAGAAAAATGTAAGGATCAAACAATACACATGTTAATGGCTCATGTCATTATTTTCAAATGCATTAGAAAATAGGAGAAGTGATATGCATCACCAATTTTTTTTAAAACATTTGACAACAATGACAACAAAAGATAATGAAAATCCTCATCTCGAGTTCCCTTTCACATTGCTTGATAATAAAGAGCCATTCCAAAATGTCCACAGCTTTATTGAAACCAACACACCTTACAGTACAGATGATTGTGTAATGTTCTCATTTAAAATAAGGCCAAAAACATACACCTCAAGCAACTGAATAACAGAAAAAGCAACATGACAAGTTATGCCTTCTGTTCACCCAAGACCAAACCCCTTCCACCCTACCCCCCTCAATTCATTACTTGATCTTATTTCTTATTGATAAAATAGATTTTGCTAATAAATTAATTGAAGGTCATTATCAAAATTCATCTCACTTCAAAATAATCCTCTTTTTTAACAATTTAATGTAGAATGTGCTGATGGTATTAAAGGGAAATGAAAAAAGTAATTACAACTCTGATTTCCCTGTGTTATGAGTAAAAATACTTATACAAGCATGCCCAAAATTAACCCTTAAATTCCCATGAGTGACCAAGTCAGAATTTCTCCTTACAATATCAATATAATATTGGGCAGACAAGTGATGAGAATAAAGAAAAATCTTAACTAGGGGGTTATTAGTTGATCCAATACCAAATTCTCCAAACTAACATCACAAGAACTATATGGCAGACAGTAAGGAGAATTACTAATGAGATCTTGGGAGTTAAAGGGTTAAGAGAAAGAATAAACTGGAAAGATACCAATCAAAGTGCTACTCACTTCCATATTTAAGATTGTCACTTGCTGTGATGCCACAACTCGTGTACAATAATTCACAAAACTTATGTTAAACCTCACTAGTAATTAGATATCAACTGAAAGCTATCCAAGAATTAAATGTGGCAAAGGAGCTGAATGGGGTAGAACTAACTGCTGACAAATTTAAAAAACATGCAAACTAAGAAAGTTATATGTTCAATACAATGAAATATGGTCTATAAATAAACAGAGTATCCTAAACAGCATGTTTTCCTTAATTTGTCAAGGCCAATTCTACTCTGTAATTTGGTATTAACAACTGGGTTGATAATGTTAATTGGCCACGGTAAAGGGTTTCAAAGCTATTGTTTCAAGCATTAGCCCTTTGTCAAAGAAAATTCGCCCTGATGAAGGGTTTTCAATTGAAATGTCAGCTTTGAAACTCTTTATGGTTGCCAATTTACATTATCAACTCAGTCAATAATACTAACTTGCCTTTTAATGCTCTTCCACTGATGCATCATTTTTATTTGAATAACCTAAATGTCACAACATCTTATAATGCAAGATCTTTTTGAGAACTATTCACAATGCGAACTTTTCAGGCTACTCGGTCAGAAGTAGAAAGCCAGCACATAGTCAGTGGTAGATTTGACTACCAAAAGATCTAACAAAGACTAACCCCTTCCATGAAAAAATACACTACATGCATCACTCCACCATAAACTATGAAATGACTAAAAGCACCATTATGACGTATTAATTATATTCAACAAACACTGACTCAGCACAATGAGGAGAGGGTTATGTCTTTGCATAACAACTACAATGTAATTTTTTTGGATTAAAAAAAAAAGAAGAAGTTTTCAGCCAAAGGGGCCTATGTTGATACTCCGCGATATAGAGATTTCCTAATTCTGGTTCAGAGATAAGAACAGCACATTTGCTGATTCAGTGGTTGTAATTTCTACCTGCTAATACTATTTCAGTTTATTTACTCATTGCAGATATTCCTTTCACTGCCTCAATGTCAAGGGGAATTTCTGTTAAGTAAGGTAAAAAGAAAAACCTCAAAAAACACTTGACTTTGAAATGAAATTATGTTCAGAAAACCAAACAATAGTTTGCTTCTTTTAAGATGTGATCAACAATTTCAAAATCAACTGCACTCATTGGTTATGGATTTCATAACTGGATTAAAAACTATGATCTTCAATCTCTCCAATGTAATAAGTAGAGCAACATCTGAAGGAAATGAAAATGATGGTCTTTCAGTCAGTCCTCTAAAGACCAACCAGTCAGTCAGTTGACCATTCAGTTAATACATTTGTGAGTCACACAATCAGTGTGTGAGTCAGCCAGTTTATCTGCCTATTGGTTGATCAGTCAGTCAGTCACCAATGTGATTGTCTGTCTATCAATCTGCCAAGTTTTCTGTCAGTCAGTCTTACAATGGAACAAAGGAAAAAGTTTTTGATGAGAATCATTTAGCAACCAACTTCAGTGAAAAGCAATTTCCTCTAGAGCAAATTTTCATTCATAGACTCTATCTTTTAATTATCTACTATGGTTAAAAAATTTGATTTGTTTGTGGTTTGATTCTGAACATGAGATACCAAACATCATAAATCATTTTGTTGAAAATTTTATCCAATGAAAAAAACCATATCCAACATATTGTAACATGTTCAAGATTGTGAACCAACAAAATATTTAAACCTTGTCCCCAGTTAGCCAGAGTAAAAGTTATTTGACCAAAGGAAATACATGGACCAAAACTATGCAACGAATCTCTTTTTCTTTCAACTAAAATGCCTTTTTGTTCATGTACAAATTTGTACAACGTAAAAATCAAATTGACTGCCTGTAATTTGCAGCTATTATCCTTTCTAATAAATTTGATGTCTTATTCTCCAAACATTATTATACAAATGTTATTATAGACACCACACCAATCTAAAAATTTGATTTTTTAACCTTTACACATGCTAGGTATAATAAGCCTCTTCCCTGAAAAGGGAAAAAAAAAATAATGCCACTGAACTCAAGAAACCAGTTTCTTTCCTCTGCATTTTTTTTTCTTGAATGCTACATCACTTCTATCTCATATTACCACAACCACAATGCCAAAGCTAATAGCTCATAACAAAGCTGGAAAGGAGCAGCTGTAACACTCCTGTTCTGTCATGGATTACAGACAAAACACAGTTGTTTCAAATAAACTAAACTGTGTTTGGAACTGATCACTGCCAAACTAGAGCTTGCCAGAACATACCAGGTACCTGACCAGATGAGGGAGACCTGTCATGTTTCACCCTGATTTTAACTTTTCCACTGACGTAGCCATAGTTGCACTATCATCTGATTTGCTTGTTGGGTTTCTCTGTGACTTGGACTTCCGAACTGCTGATCTCCACAGCCACCTTACTTTTCTCTTTGTTTCGTCATCATTTTCAGCTACTGATGATTCACTTTCAGTAGTGGAGTCTTGCCTCTTTCCAAACCAGCTCAGTCTCTTTTTGGATTTTCCAGTTGGTGAGTCAGGCAAGCCAGTCAAAACTGGTTCATCTTGCTCTAATTTCTCACAAGATGCTGACAACTGTTCCAAAGACTTGGCTGAAACTTCAGATTCTGTTACACCATTTATCAAGGCTTGTGCTCCAAGATGAAGACTTGGTTGGCTTTTACTTGTATCAAAAGTTGCCTTTTCTCTCATTTGCACAACATCCTTTTCAGCATGCCTTGTTAAATCTTTTCTATTACCTCCAGAATCACTTTCTTGGCCAGTCAAGTTGGCTTTATCATAAGAGGATTCTTTCTGCAGATCATGCATGCCAACATTAGCTGTCACAGCAGAGTATGTTGGTGGGAGATCTTCTTTGCTAACTCCTGTCTCAGGAACAGACGGTGCTTTCCAAGGACTAGCACTAGAGGAGATCTTTCTACCAGAGCTGACCCCTGCCACATTGGCCACATTAACAAGAGCTTCTGCTATGGCTGAACCTGAGTTGGTTTGACTGCCACTTCCTTTCCCTATACCAAAGGATGTCTGTGACATGATCTGAAATCCACACAGTGATTCTATTTGTGACCATCTGTGCTGCCTCTCCTCAAGCTCATTTGTAACTTCTGCAAGTGCTGATCTAATATATAAATAAATAAATCATACTGATTAAATATTAGTAAATACATATCAAATTGATAAATTAATCAAATGAGTGAGGAAATAAATATTCCAAATGATAATTATGCCAGGCATAAAAAAATTGAAAAAGTCTTAGACATCACAAACAGTAGTAAGTATCTAGCAAAGAAATGATCCTCTCAAGTTGGACTGCAAAATTTGTTAGTGGTACTTAGAACAGTTAAATTCAATTTGCAATTAGGTAAGAAAAACTGTACCCATTGTGTAGGTGGAAGCATCCATTCCACTTTGATCCAACACCCTTCATGACATTTCAGCTTTGCCTCAAACTTACCCTTAAATCATAAATTTGAATTTTGCAATCCCTCCCTTTCCTTGGAGTGACAAAATGTTTTGAGTGCATGTGCATATCATTTCTGAAACTGAAAATTACATATTCTTCACACAATTATGAAAAACAAAACTAACCTAGCACCAAGAATCTTTTGATCAACCTCATCAATGGTTAGGTCATGGGCTAGACGCAGGGATCCCATCAAGCTACTACGTTTCTTCTTTATTCTCTCACACTAGGTTGAACAAAACAAAGACACTTAACTCAATAAAATAATGTTTGTGGTTTTCCGCACTTTATTGATGATGTCATGGATTTGACAACAATCCAAAACCCAGATGCTCTTAAGGAGCAGAACCAAAGTTATCACATCTAATTAAAAATACCAACTTTACTGAAAGTCAGAATTTTTGGAAAAAAAAATTGATAAATGGCTACTCTGTCAGTGTTATAAATCTGAGCACAATTCCCCTTTCACAGACCTCCATAGTAACTCATTCAAGAGTTCAAATCTTACCGCCTCTTTTGCTTCCTTCATTTGTTTAAGAGCAACAGTTCTTTTCTGCTGGAAGTGTTTAGTTTCCTTGTCAAAAGTCATCTGTAGCCATTGTTTCAGAACAGCTGGTGCCTTCCATGACTGATACTCCAGTTCTTTCTCAGCTTTCCTCAAAGCACGGCGAACCTTAATTCAGATAATTGAAAAAAAAGAGATGCGTGAATTTAACAACTCATCAAAAATGCAATTAGGATGGAAATTTGTAGAAGATTTTATTTTTTTATTGGTGTGAACTTTGACTGCCAGTAATTTACTTCTCCTCTGAATTGTTGTATAGTTACCCACTTCAATAAATCCCATATTCATAAATTATCTCAACAAATGATTCCACTCCCCATTCTATATGGCCTAACAAATAAAAAAAAATTACTGAAAATAAGAATTGGATAGCAGAGCAAAAAAAACTAGTAACACCAATACTGATCCTCTACCAAGTTGTTCTAACATTTTAAAGTTACTTGTTATTTTACTAGTCTACTACTTTTGAAGGCCTCTAAGGCCTCTTTCAATTCTGATCAGAACATTTTTACCTGCACCAGCTCTTCTTCTGCAAGCTTCAGTTTCTGCATTTGTTCCTCTGTCCCTGTACGAGTTTCAGCCATAAGTTGAGCTTCATTCTGTGCAATAAAAACCACAGTTACTTAACACCATTCCCCTGCCACTAATGGTACTGTAACATTTTCAAATGAAAACCCTCTATGTACAATGAAACATTAGTTTAATACACACCTTTGACATTTCCAGCTCTTCATTTAGCCTTGCCTCTAAATCAAGTTTCTCTGTAATGGCTAAATGATGATCTTCCTCTGCTTTGGCCAATCTATGAAATAATTAAAAAAAACAACGTGATTGGATACAAAAGCAACAGAATTATTAACATATCAACATCTAGACCTTCTTAATATGTCAAACAATGCATGCTGCCTATTAAACACATTGCTTATTCAACCCTTTCACCCCTAAGAATGACTACACCTCACTAATTTCTCCCTACACAATGTACAACATCACCCTTGAATCACACATTAAGATCTTGACAAAGGAGGAAATCATCACCAACTAAAGCTGCTCTTGATTGTTCAACAAATTCTCCCTGTCAGCACCATAGGAAATATGGGGGGAACAGTAAGGAGAAGATGAATACTTATGTTAGGTTGTGAGGGGTAAAACAGACATATGAGTGTGTCTACATGGATGATGAGAACTGAATTACAGATTGCCAAATTACCTAGTTTGTAATTCCTGGAGACCATCCTCAGCTTGCTGGAGTATCTTCATGTCTTTGATCATACGTTCCATTTGTTCTTTTGCTTTGCGTTTCTGTAAAATGGCTATCCAGCAACCAAAAGTTGCAACCAGCACAGAGAATGCTACAACAACATCCTTCAGTAGGTTATGTCCTAAGACTGAAACATTTAAAACAATTATGTTAGCTATTAAAATAATTTATTACCAAGACATTATATTGATTTCAAAATAAGTGTTAGGTTGTAACTTTATTTTGGAGTGGGTCAGACAGAGGTTACCAAATCTACTAAAACAGGATCTTTATGTTATCTGTTTTGAATGACTTTCTTTGTGATCACACCTTTTAAAATTAATTGCAGATCATGACTGCAGTAATTTGAAAGAACCACCACTAAGATTTCAAAGATTGATAATACAGTACAATTGGCTCGATTCCACAACAAAAATGAACAGTAATCCAAATCTTCAACATCCTCAAACTGACAAAAAACTGTAAATTTCACTACCTAAGGTTGAATTACACCATTTTATCTATAAAAGAAATGAAGGCCAATTTTCTGCTTTAGAAGACTAAAGCTCAAGATTTAAAGCTGAAAAACAGCAATACTGAATTGGATACAACCCTTTCCTAGGAAAAGTTTAACAAAGCCCCACCCTTACACCGCCTTTGAAGGCTTCTACAAAAATAAGGATAATTTTTTCAAGGATACACATCATTTAACAGTGAGAAAATTTTGTCAATCCAAAAGGCTTGAACATAATAAACTTACCATAACTCAGTAGATTCTTAGATAGCACATTGCATAGAACAGAGAGTTTATTTTCACTTTCAGGTCATATTTAAGCAATCTTACCAAGTGGAGGTCCAAAAAGAACAATATCCATAGCTCGTAAGCCAATTTTCTTGCGATGTTTCGGATCTTTTATTCCCAGTTCATTTTGGAGCAGACCATTCTCCTCTGTAGCCAGCCTGCACATCACAAATGCATGTGAGATAGCTCAGGTAATTTATAATAAAACCCAAGCAAAACTTACCCCAAATATGGAACATAGCTACACCTTGTGTACCTTTATCATGCAATAAATGCATATCAATGTGTAGTGAAAAGAATTACTTATCACAAAAGCTTAGTCAAGGGAGCATTATCTGGAAAGAAAAGTGTGATAATTCATTTTATAATGTGCTTAAGGAAACTCAAGCAATTAACAGTGAAAAGAAATTAGAGGTTTGCAAAATTGAGGATTTTAGTTTAAGGATTCCAAATTAAAGCAGTTACAGTATTGAGAATTACTAATTGCCAAAGATTCATTAAACCACCTGTTGCCAGCTGTTTTCAACATTAGTCTTGCAATCTTTTAACACATTCCTACCAGTAATACTCAGCCAACTCCATTTTTAGATAAACATTGTACACATTCCAACAGAAGTGCACACACCGGTTTAAAATTTATCCGATGAAGCCACTAAATTAAGAAAGCTGTATGAAAAAAACCTTTGAACAATTTCTCTCGGTATTGCTACTCACAGATGACAAACTCATCTTTAAATCATCAACTTTTTTTCAACATTGCATTTTTGTACAAAAATAAGTGAGAAGGTTGAAAACTTCCTCTTTATAATCTAAGCAAATTTCGTAATTTTAACTCCTTGTTATATTACCATTTAATTCATAAAACGTATTTCAATTTAGTACTTTTTGTTGCAAATCATGATCACTATGTCTCTGAGAAAAATGCACATCAAAATACAAAGTCCAATAAAAAAATCACTTTTTCTCCCAATCCCTCAAATGTATTCTCTATTATAGTGTCACACCTTCTACAATAACTTAAAGACAATCTTTTGTTTTAGTTTTAAAATAACCGAAATGCTTGAGCAAGCTGGAAGACTCACACAAACAAGGAAAGAGTTTGCAGCGTTAGTAAAGGTGGTAATATCTCATCTCCTTGATAACTGATTAAAGATTCTTCAAGTACAATTAAGACAGCTAGGGCAAACCTGTCCAATATATACTAAGAAGGAATCTAGCTCCTATTAGATAGCTTCCCTGATAGAGTAAGAAGATGAAGTCTAAAAGAAATATTGAATTACCCATTTATCAGAATGTACTATCTAGGAATTTTTAAAATTTTGTTCCTCTGTAGCACCAATTTGTCACATTTTGTTACATTAGGCAGCTGCCCAAATACAAATTCAAACAACATTCATATTTAATTGGCATCAGATGTAGACATCCATATGCAATCTTTGCTCAATTATATAAAAGTCATGTAGCTGTGAGGTGTACATTGACGGATGCGGGAGAAAGGTAAGTAACAATACATCAACTCAATGTATTGAAAAATCAACAACTACATTAAATTCATTACAAATGTCAAACTGGAAACGATTAATCATGAGACTTTGGAGTGAAGCAATTTTTTTAATTCCAAAAGATATGGAAAAAAAATGTTAAGACTGAGAGGCTACAGAGAGGCAGCTTGATGAAAGGTAATTTTTTTAAAACTTATTTGATTGTCTAACTCTAGGAATAATAAATACACTATGTTCCATGTTTTTCTTTACATTTTTCAATGTTTTAAAATTTTCATGCTGTACACTTAATGTTGAGGCAAGGGAAACACACCAGTGCAGTGTGCTGCATAAGGGGCAAGACTAATTTTCTTCCAGGGATAAAAAGGTTTTAATGTAGAAGTAGTTTGCTTACCGTGGTACATCTGATCCATTGATAGCTGCAGTCACAAAAACATCAGCATATTGTGGAAGATGGACAGAGTTTTTGAGCCATTCAATGACTTCTTCGTTAGTCCAGTTGTGAACTACAAAGCCCAACATTGACTATAAGCTAACATTATTTTAATGATGAAGGGGATAATGAACATGAACACATTAATGTCACTTAATAATGTTGCAGAAATCAATGAGTTAGTAACATTACAGAGCCTCACTTGTTTGAGGAAGGACCGCTTTTTTGTGACAGTCAAGAATCTATGTGGATGTTATCATCAGACTCATGATTCTGACAACAACTTATGCTCACGTTAATGCCATCCATTTTTTCAGGACTACCCTCAACCTCATGATCAGATTAGACAATAGTCACTGTCACTTGTTACTAATAGGATCAAATCTTTTACTGTTTAACCCTTTAACTCCCAAGATCTGATTGGTAACTCTCCCCACCAGCTGCTACACACACCCTGGTAAATTAGTTACAAGAACTTGGTGTTAGATCAAGACAACAACTTCTACCTGATAAGTTTGAATATTCTCATTAGCTGTTTGCTGGATAATGTAAGGATATTATAAGGAGAAGTTTCATGTTGATCGATTGCGGGAGTTAACGGGTAAAAAAACTGAGACTTTCAATAAGTTGTCAGTCCAAGGATTCTGACCTGCACTTTGCGCCCAACTCTGCCAGAGTTCATCCACAGAGATGAGATCATCATTTCCATGGAAGTGGGAGTGCCGTTCTTCATCAGTCACTTGAAGTTCATCACGCATAAACTAAAAAAATTCAATTTAAGAAATGCAAGATAAGTGCATCATTAGTGAAGATCACATGGAAGAATAAGAAACAGTAAACAGTGCAGAAAGGTAGCTGCCTCACACCAATATTGTACTCACACACATAGAGGTTCAGAGGAAAAAAGTTAAGTATTTGACCCAAGCTTCATGTGGGTGGGAGACAGAGCCCTACTCTACAGTTGTTCAATATCATGGACTCCAGATCAAAAGGACAGGGTTTAAATAATGGCTGGGTACTCAATGGTTTTTTGGTTCTTGGGGAAGACACTTCCCTCTCACATTGTCTTTTTGCACCTGGGAGTATTAATGAGTAGCACAAAACATTTAAGAAAATTTGATGAATGTTTGGGGGAAGGGGTGGGGACTACCTAAGATAAATAGGTGGTTGTCACTAATAGGAGACAGAAGAATTCTTAAAAGCTATTTCACAGAATTCTATGACTACAGAATAGAATTCTCTCCCTAAATTTTTCATGGCACAAGCAATAATGTTGCTTCTTTAGAAACAGAGCTGTAAAATTAATGCAATTTACCCTCCAGCTACAAATAGTCACTGGAAGCTCATGATCTTGGGATTAAGTCTGAGAGTAAGGGGACAGAAAAACTGAAAGATTTGACCTTTTTTGGTGGTAAATCAAAACACTCACCTCATTTGATTCACTCAAGTCAACTTTCCCATTCCTGTCATCATCTAGGTGGACATGTATTTTTGTAATTGCTTCACGATTCAACTTTTCATTTTCCGTCAGATGTTCTAAACATAGTATGGATAGGACATTAAAATTCAACCCAACCCTTAGTGTAGAACACTCAGTTGATGTAAAATAATAGAGAAAAAAAGACACAAGAACAAGTAGAACAATGAAAACAATAGGGTTTGGAGAAAGTGTTCTATTGTGACATGTCCCGCGTGCTTCTACAAAAAGAAGGAGCCTCTTAATATCTCTCAATTCTTATTGAGAATTGAGGCACAGCCTGTCATTCACCTGAGTAGCTTGTGTCATTCACTGAATAACATCATATTTCACCTACATCATCACACTTAAAATTTACCATCTTAATTGAAATCATCAATAATATATTGGTCTCCGAGGGAATGGAAAAGATAATAAAGGAAATGTCTGTCATGCCCAGTCAAAATGTTCACTCAGGATTCTATCTTCAAGATTGTGTTTATAATTATTATAAACACAATCTTGGAAGATGGAATCCTTACCTAATGGAAGCTGTACCTAAGTTTTTGTCTAAAGCTAATGAATGTATGGTGATGGTTAACTCTTATATATATTGAAAGTTTTCACAAGACAAAGTTATCAGTAACTGATAACTTTGTCTTGTAAAAACTTTTAAAAAAATGGCTGCATGCATTACAAAGCAATAGAAACATGTTGGGCATGTAATTATATCTGTGTATAATCACATGTACAACAACTATCCAACTTGTAAGCTCGCACTTGCACTAAGACTTTTTGCATGTGAAAGAGTTTGGTTTTAGTATTGCACAGGAACTTGATCAATTGCATGCTATGGTTCAATAAATACAAAGTGCATAACTGGAGAGCTGAAATGACAATCAATTCAAGCCTAACATTCAAAAGGCACACATTGACTTTTGACAAGTTTGAATAAAACACCCTAAACACTCTACTTAGCTAATTAAAGCAAACATTCCAATGTATCATGTTCTGGTTTTCATGAGTATGCTTCATTTGTTTCTTTCATAAAAAATAGGATGTATTTCCTTTAATTTTGTACTTTGAACCATCTGGTACTATTTTGCTAAAAAAAGCAATAAAAGCATGAATACCCAGTGAGAATACTGATGTTGCCATGGGTACATATAAAATTTTAATGATAAGCTAGATATTAAAAGTTCCCTGAAGTAAAATTTATCACCAATGAAAATAATGTTAAGCTTTACTATTGAGTCATAAACATCTTTGCAGGCTCAGTGTTCTATAATATGAATTATATTTAGTCGGTGCTTTTTATCCTCTAAACTAAAGAAGTCCTCTACAGAGATAAAACAACAATGCATCAACCTATATTTTCGACATTGGCAAAGAAGCTGTGTACATCTTTGTTTGCTAGTTTAGCTTTATTATGTCCTGCCTAGGAGAAACCTAGTCTAAATGTTGCATCAAATTCTTTCCATGTTTATTCAGAATACTAATGAATTTAGAGGAAGAATTTATTATTCTTGCAGATTTAGCCAGAGAGATACAGCTTGTTTCACATGTTTTAGCTCCAGATTAACACAAAAGTTATACTTGTCACCTAATGACTTTTAGAAGTATTCCATGAAAGTTATGAATAATTGAGCATGCTGCATAAATTTAATTGAAAGTTTTAAATATTCTGCATAAACAAAGAAATGAGTTCAAGCAGGAAAAAAAAAATGAATGACTTTAGGTGAAATCAACCTGCTAGCGTCTTCTGAAAAGTGCAGTGTTTATGTAATATACATTGGAGTCCATTCTAGAACTCTCTCTGGATATATCATCTTTAATTATTTAACAACATCAGAAAAAACCAAGCTCACAAACAAAACAAACCATGTTTGAAATACATAATTCTGTGGTTGCCAATGTTACTGATGCCCTGTTATTCATTCTTAAATGCCATATATACCGTGGAAATTCACCAAGTTTGTTTGGAAATATAATTAGGATACGAATATAACTAAAGTTGCGCTGAAGAGCAACAAAGGTTGTCATCCTTCCCAATTGTTCCTTTTGTCACTATTTGTAAGCATTTCGTGCAAATTCGTGTTCTGTTGACCTTGGAAACAATCGAAATATTTCACCGTAAATAGGATTCGTGGTTTTAGGCAGTTAATGTCTCTTTTTCATGCTCTGCTACAAATTGGATTTCTGATGCATTTAACTTAAAGCTCCCACGAAAGAAGCTTAGTTTTGTAGCCAAATTAGTTAGTATGTGTAACTGTCCAATTAAAATTCTCCAACTCACACCCCACTCGCACATATAGGTAAACATAGGCTTAACTAAAAAATTATCCCTAAATTCGTACAATTTTCTCTAAAATGTTATATCTGAAAATGAAAATAAGCCATCATCGGTGGAAGAGTTTGTAGGATGCGTTTCTAGCACTCGAAGATGAGGTTGCGTTCATAAATGCAGCAAAATATATATAAGGCGCCGGCAAACACAAATAACTGCTTCATTTATGAAAGGAATTAGCTCTTTACACTGGTTAATAAAAGAGCTCTGTTTGAATTTGATGCAAAATGTATATTTGACAATTACTAAGAATTTTGATCCGAGCAGACATTTTCCACGCCAAAAAATCGGCTGTGTAAGAAACAGATCAGCGGCTTACCAGAGTTGAATTGACCTCGACCCTTCGGAAAATATCCTTTCGTCGTCAACGACACCAATAAAACTTTGACAAGCCATGATATTGCCATTTTCTGGAAGTGGATATTAAACCAGCTGATAAATATTTTGAAGGGAAAAAGCCACCGGCAGTTTCATTTGTTTCTATCATATTTATGCGGCTGACTCGATTTGGTGAGTCGTGAATCCACCATTCGGATACGAAAATCTTCGTATATAATCGGGAGGGTTCGGAGAAGCTTTATTTTCGGTCTGTGTCAAGAGAAAGAATATTTTTCACAAAGTTACGACTTCCTTAACAAGAAAAATTACTGTAAGTGTCTTCTGAGTGACCGATAGTGAAGTAACTGACTTGCATCCCGGTTCAAAGAAAGATTTAAATGCGTGTGTTCCCCGTAACGCATTTTTGTTTCCGGTTTTTAAACTTCCGGTCTTCTGACGTCATAGGTAGGGACACGTCACGAGTTTACAATCGATTACAGAAGTTGTTCGTTTCCCTCAAAATGCCGGGCGATCCGAGCTCCAGAGGTAAGCTTTATATCTTCTAAGACCCAAAAAAGTGTTTTTATGATACTGGTAGTTTATCATAAAATACGATAGTCGAAAATAATCGTTTAGAGACGTAAAATTTCCGAGTTTGATCCAAGTTTTCGTACAAGTGACTTCAAACGCACTCAATATGGCGCTTTCCGTCAGAAGATTTTTGATTCCCTCTAGATCTATCTTGCTTATTGTCGAATCGTTCGATCATGTAGAGATACTTTACCTATTTAGTTACTTACGTGTAAAATGAAGTGAAAGACTAGGCTAGTTTCTAGATTCATTTGATTCACATGGTTTTTCTGGTATGACTTTAGTTCAATAGAACTTCAACACGCAATCAGATTCTATGTCTACTCTTTATTGAACGTCTGTTCATTCCAATTTTAGTCACGTAAACTCCTTCATTTTAAGGTAACAAATGGGGAAAAGAGTCTCTTATTCCCGGAAAAATTCTCATCAGTCATTAGCGTGCTCCCACAGGAGCACCCATGGAAAACTCTAGGGCAACCTCGAAAATATTTATACCCTGATCTGAATATTCATAACGTCATAACATTAGAAGTTAATCCTAGCATTCGTTTACAACCACAACTTTCTCGTACATAGTATGACAAACATGGTTTTCTGTTCCAATTTAGCCTCTGGTGGTATCATAGCTTATAATGGCGATTCTGCTCGAGGTTGGAATGACCCTCCAACTTTTGCGTTCTCTAATAACTCGACGGGCAACAGACCGAAGTTAGATCTAAGGAAGAGAGTATCACATCAGCAAGCTTTACATGGAATACAAACACCGTCGCCAAGTTTACAACCAGCTGTTGTTAACAACGAAGAAATTACAAACGGTACGTCGAGATTTTCCAGTGTTTCCGAGTTGAAATCTTGTTGAGATTGTCTAATATTAAGGATTGCACAATTCAGCGATGTCATGATGACAAAAACTCTGAAAATTATTTATAAACTTTGCACCCTGCCGTGATGTTACATGTCTGTAATACATTTGAGTCGTAAAATTTTGGTTCAGTAAGAATAAATACTATATAACTTCTGCGATGGAAACACGAGGAATCTTCCTCTTTTTTTATCGTTGTTTATTAGGTATAAATCGATTATCAGTGATCGTGGAAGATCAGATCAGGAAATTTGCCGCGGGCAAAAATAAAAGCCTTCGGGATTTCAGCATTTGTATTAATAAGTGTTTTAAGGTACCACAAACATCAATAGTTATGGAATTTCAAAACCCAGAAAGTGTCTGAGTTTTAGAATGGTGACAGTGATAACTTAAACAGACTATAAAGAAACGAAATATACACTATTTATAATCATGCTAAACCAATCACAGCATTTGAAAGTACTTATTTATTTCCTTTTTCTAGGTACATCTGTCTGAATTATTATCATTTTTAATTTTGGAATAATAAAAAAACATGTCTCCTTCAACTTGATCTTCAATTCTCTCACAGCTGTGCTTAATTGGAAAATGCAGAATAAAACTTCAAGCAGTCTTAACTTACATGTAATTATTGTTTTTCTCAAACATGATTCACCATTTTCACAGGTGTTGGTGCTCTTAAACTCAATGGCGTCTCCCAGCCACTTTATACACAACCTCCAGTGACAACAAATGCACCTCTTGGAAGTAATAACCTGGATAGCATTGCCCAGCCTCTTTTCACACCACCAGTGACAACAACTCCTCCTCTTGTGAGCCATAATCTTAATGGCATCACTCAGCCACTTTTCACTCCAGCACCAGTGACAACAACTTCACCTCTTGTAAATACTAATCTCATGGCTCCCTCAATACCAACCATGTTTACAAGGAGTGTATCCACACCATCTTTTACTGATGCAGGAACAGCAAATTCAAGTGATGTATCTGTTAACTCAACGCAAAGTATCAACCCTCCAGGGACACATGCACATGCTAAATCAACAGAGAATCTCTCAGGGAATCTTGGACAACCATTATTTGCTCTCAAAGATCATAGTTTTGAACCAATAAGAACTGCACCTCTACACAGTATCCGCTCAACGGCAGAAATCAGTGATCATTTTGATGATCACCACAGCTCCCCACAGATATTCCATACAATAACTCCTCCTGTAACAAAAGCTTCCACCATGCCAAGTTATCAAGATAACCCACTTATAACCCAGCCATCCATCCCACCACCATTACCAAGCCAACCTCCAGTTGGTCACACAACACCTCCTTTGTATCCAGTACACAGGCAGAGCCCTGTTCCACCAACAATGCTCCCACAGGGGAATGGAATAGCTAAGCATCCTCACATGGGACACAGTATGACTCCACCACCACTCCCAGGGAATCAAATCTCATCTTCAGCTTCATTAAGTGCAGGGAATACTCCTCGCAGTACCTCTCCCTCTGGTGAGGAGAAAAATGGAGCTGTCTCTAATGCAGTGGATAACCAAGAAGGGCTTAAGATCACAATGGATGCCTTACAGGATGTTATTAACAAGCTTCAAGACAACCTAGAGGTTAGTGTTCTAGTGTAATTTGTTCAGCGCATCATGGCCTGTGATATCCCTTCTCAGTCTTGTTATCCACAGTGCTGTGCAAAGGCAAGGATCACTCTCCTTTAATCACTTCATCTCATCACTCTGACTGTGACTTCAATTATGTCACTTCACAAGAACTTTGTTGCAGCTGAAACAGTAAAATATCTCACATGACTTATTTCAGTCATTGCATCAGCTTGGGAAGTCATTTGTACATGCATTAGTCAACAAAACATTCTCTTTCTATCACAGAAAAGAGTTGCTGATGATATTGCAAGAAGACTGCAAGTGATGAGTCAGAATTGGACAAATGGGAAACTTAGTCAAGGTGTCAAGAGCAGAATGATAAAGCTTGCACAAGGTAATGAAAGATAGATATCTCTTCAAGCTCCTAGTTTTCTGTTATTAAGGGGATTTGAAAGTTAGTTTTACAAAATTGTGTAAGACAAGTTGATATTCTTGACTGGTATGTTAGGCAAGAAGGTTTTACTACTAGTATTCAGCAAAGACAAAGTAATATTTTATACTGCATGAATATCTTGAATATGATTTAACTTAAATGTCGGCTGGTGCAATTCAGAGTGCCATTACAACTACTTGTCTGTAAATATGTCTCTCTATCTTAAAATGTCATTTGGATAGTAACAAATTGAACTCTAATCATGAGAAAAAGTTGCTAGACACTTAAATTTGCAAAAGTAAGCAAAAATAACATCCCATCTTCTTTACACAAGAAGTTCCAACTACAGACCTTTTTTTGTTTATTTTCAAAGGTATCCCAAAAACATTTGGCCAGGATTGTAGTTCTGTGAAATTCTTCAGTGGCTTAGTAAATCTTTTTTTTAATGTAACTGTGTTCATGATCTTTCATTAGCTCTAGATGGTGGAAATGTTGAGGAAGCACATCAGATTCATATTTCACTAATGGTGGATTTTGTTAGTGAGGTAAGCTCTTTTGCCACACTAAGCCAACAACTGCTGTTGTAAGAGTTCAGTGATTAGGTTAAAACCTTAAACTTAATTGTTGTTGGAAGATATTTTCCTTCACATAAAGTTGTTTTTAAATGCAAAGGAAAACATCAATTTTATTAGGGCCAAGGCAATTACTTTTTAGTGTATGACGTTGTAGACTAGTAGCCTGTACAGAATTAACAATTTGATTTTAACTAATTCCTGTCCTTTTTTTCAGGTAAACCAGTGGATGGTTGCCGTGAAGAAGTTAATCAATTTAGTCCGTACATCAAGTGCTTTCCCAGCTCATTCATGATACTCAAGAAATTTGAAATATTAGACTGTCTATTAGTAATTTAATTGAACATTACAGCAAGTGAAGTGAAAAAGACTTAGGAAATCTCAGGGATCTATGGAGTAGTTGTGATCTGTGACTGTTCCAAATGGTCTGGAGAAATCAAGAATTTCAAATCAAGTTAGAGTTTGTGAATTAAAGACTTTGTTTATCATCTGTTATGGTGTTTTAACACAGTTATTGTACTCTGTCAAGAGGTGGTAGTGACAAATAATTATATGAAATTTTATTTTGAAAAAAGAAAAAAACACCTTTAGAGTTAGTTTTAATATTTAGTAAAGAGGATTTGGTGGAGAGGGCACACAAATGTTGTAATTAATGTGAAATTGTGAGAGCTGTGTAATCTTGCACACAGAAGTGAGTTACTATGTTGGTAGGTATGGTCTGTTAGAAAGTTCCCCTATTTTATACACAAATGATTTGCCCTCTGTGTGGGCTTATTCACAAATTCCAATCTCTTTCCAAAAATCTTCAATTTGTGAGTAAATATCTGTATTTATTATACTATTAAGAGAACAGGAACAACGATTGAGGGAGCTTTAATTAGTAGAATGTGTCCCAAGGTCATTGTATTTAAGCTTGAGAGTTTAGGAATGTAAACTTTGATACTTTAAACTTTAGAAATTTAAACTTTGAGAGGGGGTGGATTGCAATTTTCAACTTACTATTACAGATGAATTATTAACTGAAAAGGAATTACAGCTCAATATTTCATTGTAATATCTTAGCAATAGCTGAAATTTATGATGTAGACAATTAATAGTAAGATGGATTAATTTAATTTTTTTTCCATTGGTTAGTTTTGAAAAATGAAGAAAAGTGCAATCAAGCCCTCAGACTCAAGGTTTTAATTCAACTGGCTAAGAAACATAGTGCTCAGTTACTCTGCTT